CATTTGTTATGACATTTGGCATGACATGACAATGACATGACGTTTGTTATGATTGTCATGAGGCATTATAATTGTTGCAAGATTTTAAAAAAAAAATCATATAAGAACAAGACCATAATAAATCAAAATGCTTTGTGCAAATTGAAAATGAGACCAGAATATTTTGTGAGCCAAGCCCGAACAACAAGCACAAAATTGATTTTAATTAGTGAACCTGGCAACACTCTGATGTAGTATTTTATGAACCATCTTTCAGATTTAAGAGAAAACTACATTTTCTACCCAGTGTACACTGCCAAACTGAACATTTACAGTACAATAGATGTAGCGCCATGTTTAATGTATAATAGAGGTGTGTCAATAATTTGTAGATACCAGAATATAGCAGGTAAAGAGATATCTGTTGCCAGATATTGCTAAAAAAAATCCACATATAAGACCAAAATAAATGAAAATGCTTTAAATTGAAAATGAGACTTTATATTTGTATGTGCACTTCCATTCTTTGTTAAAACTTGTTTGGTTTGTGTGCCAAGCCCAAACAATAAAAACAAAAAAACTGTATAATTATTGAACCTGGCAATACATTGATCCACCTTTCCAATACAAAATAAGATGGCACTTAGACTGCGATTCTAGTAGAGATGCAAAACAAAAACAAGTATTTCAACATGGTAATGTTCAAAAAATAAACTCTAAAATAATTGATATCCAACATGCCAGATCCGGGAGTGTTGCTAAGGTTACCACCCTGTCAATCATCGCAATTACTGGAGCGAGCTGTGGTTATAAACAAACTCAATGATAGAAAATAATAAAAAAATAACAGGAAAAAAATAACAGGGAATATGATACAAACTTTGACTTATCTGTGTTGCCAGATATTGACAGAACAAAAAACGTATTATGAACAAAAAAATGCATCTAAAATTCTTATAATATAACAACTCCAACATTTAAACATAGTTATTATAATATTACTTTGCTCAAAATAGCATCTCAACCATCAAAAATAGCAGAGCATTGGTTACTGCATCACCATTTTGTTATCACTTAACAGACTAAATACTAAATATAAGATGAGATATAATATATATAATATAAGAGTTTGCAGCATTAAAAATACACATACACTTCCTAACATAAGTCTTGTTGTTGATCCCAGCTGTATCATTAGGAAAAGTGTCAGAAGGTAGATTTTTCTCCTGAATCATCTGTTGAACTACATCACAATCATCACCAATACTGCAGAAGACCTAAAGCAGCTCTGCACAGTTTAGTTCCAACCCTAAATTAACACACCTGAACAAACTAATTGAGTCCTTCAGGCTTGTTTGAAACCTGCAGGTAAGTGTGTTGGAGCAGGGTTGGAACTAAACTGTGCAGGGCTTCGGCCCTCCAGGAATTGAGTTTGACACCCCTGACCTGAAGGTACCCACATGGAGCCAAGATTCTCACAAAAATTATTCAAGTTTGGTGAAGGAAAAATCATGGTTTGGGGTTACAGTCAGTATGGGGGCATGTAAGAGATCTCCAGAGTGGATGGCAACATCAACAGCCTGAGCTATCAAGACATTTGTGCTGCCCATTACATTACAAACCACAGGAGAGGGCGAATTCTTCAGCAGGATAGCGCTCCTTCTCATACTTCAGCCTCCACATCAAAGTTCCTGAAAGCAAAGAAGGTCAAGGTGCTACAGGATTGGCCAGCCTAGTCACCAGACATGAACATTATTGAGCATGTCTGGGGTAAGATGAAGGAGGAGGCATTGGAGATGGATCCAAAGATTCTTGATGAACTCCTGCAAGAACGCTTTCTTTGCCATTCCAGATTACTTTATTAATGAGTGATTTGAGTCATTGCAGAGATGTATGGATGCAGTCCTCCAAGCTCATGATGGAGTCAGACACAATATTCATTCTGTTTCCACTGCAGCAGGACTTTATATTCTATACTAAAAAAATATTTCTGTTCAGTGACAAGACTTTTGTCTAAGCAAAGTCAGACCTTACTGTCCTAATTAAAGAATTAAAAATCAAGGCATGATCATATTTTATTTTGGTAAAATAAGTGGCCCAAAATCTAGAGGCCTTTGCCTTTCACATAAGCCACTTCCAATACCAAATGATCAACTAGAAGTCAAGTTATTATGTGTTGTTCCAAAAACTTTGATAGGCGACAAGACTTTTGTGAGGTAGTATAGACACCTAACTGTGATCAACAGACTTGGCACTACAAATAAATTATGTTTTGCCTTTAATATTGCTGAATGTGTAGTTTCTGGACACAACTGTTATCACATCATTGTACTTACACAGCTTTACCATCTTATTTTCAATAACAAGAACACTAAATATTCAATAACAGACTATATTCTGCTTATAGACTAAATATTATGTCGCTATAAAAGCATGTGATGTTTTCCTGGATATTTTTCAGCTGACATAAAATCCAAAACAGATGTATTTCTCTTTTGTATTTGCAAGTAAATCACAGAGAAGGAAAAATAGGCATTGGTTATGTTGTGTTGCCAGATTTTGTGAGGGAACAACTGAATGAATATCAAATCCTTGATAAACCAAAACAATTCCAAAAGCTTTACAGGGGAATAAATCCAAAATTTGCCACCTGCAGCTGCCTGTTTGATTAGCTTCATAAACTTGATTATTTTATGAGCCAAGCCAAACAACAGCCTAGCATAGCCTAGGCTAAAACTGCTAATAATAAGTAAACATGATATAAAAGGGTCAAAAACGAAGGGTTAAACGTGATTCAAATACACTTTTTAAACAGCCTAATCTAAAGGTGTTTATAATAAGTAAACATGATATATAGCTGTGTTATAGACACTTCAGTTATGTTTCATGTAAAATTACTTACTCTAGGGATTAAAAGTGATTCAAATCAGCTTTTTAATCATTATCTGTAATTACCTAATTTTTTATGCAGAATGGTGCTCATTTTTGCATTTGTTCTGAAACTTCCAATTTAGCTGCCGATGGGAGAAATGACTAGAATTAATAATCGTCAGAAAACGTTTAGATTCCTTGATCTACAAACAAGTGTTTTCACGACTATATAGACAAAGAAGCATAATATAATAAGAAAATGTCAGTTTGCAACATCAAGCAGCGTTAGACGCTGTTTTAATGTCTAAAAATAAATGGGAGTAAATAAGAATAAAAGTTTTGAGCCAAAAAGATTAAAATACGCATAGAATAAGGCCAACAAAAAGTAACTTACACCATTCAACAACCAAATGAACCAAAAAAAAAAATCACAGGAAACTAAATACAAGCATGATCCTATTGTTGCCAGATCTTTCTAGACCAAACAAAAGTGCAAGAAATTAACAATCCCATAATACACTACTATGTCCTAAATATTATGACCTGCCCTAACTCTATTAACATGACCATCTTCATAACTTTGTACATCAACCAATCAATCAATCAATCAACTGGTCAATTAATCATTTGGTCAATCATTAGTCAATCAATCAATCAACTGGTCAATCAATCAATCAATCAACTGGTCAATCAATCATTTGGTCAATCAATCAGTCAATCAATCAATCAACTGGTCAATCAATCAATCAATCAATCAATCAATCAATCAATCAATCAATCAATCAACTGGTCAATCAATCATTTGGTCAATCAATCAGTCAATCAATCAATCAACTGGTCAATCAATCAATCAATCAATCAATCAATCAATCAATCAATCGGCTTAGTCCCTTTATTAAACAGGGATTGCCACAGTAGAATTATCTAGCACATGTTTTACATAGCGGATGCCCTTCCAGCCACAACCCATCACTGGGAAACATCCATACACACTCACTCTCACACACACACACACCACGGACAATTTTAGCCTACCCAATTCACCTAAACCACACCTCTTTGGACTTGTGGGGGAAACCGGAGCACCCGGAGGAAACCCACACCAACATTGGAAGAACATGCAAACTCCACACAGAAACGCCAACTGACCACAGCTGAGCCGAGCAACCTTCTTGCTATCGTGCTACCTATTGCGCCACCCTCAATCAATCAATCAATCAATCAATCAATCAATCAATCAATCAATCAATCAATCAATCAAATGTGTGTAATAAGTGGACATGACATAGCTTTGTAACTCCGCCCCCACCAATCAGTCATCAATCAATTAATCAATAAATCAATAAATCAATTAATGAATTAATCAATAGATTATTAAATAAATAATTACCCAATTAATCAATTAATAAATCAATTAATAAATCGATCAAACTAATCAATCAGTCAGTCAGTCAATTAATAAAATGTGTTTAACAAGTGGACATGGCATAGCTTTGCACCTCCACCCCCAATCAATCAATCAATTAATCAGTCAATCAATCAATCAATCAATCGATCAATCAGTCAGTTAGTCAATCGGTCAATTATTTAGCCAATCAATCAGTCACTCAATCAATCAATTAATCAAATATGTATAATAAGTGGACATGGCAACACATGCCTTCCAAAAAAAAAAATTATAAGCTACCATGCAGGAATGACTACAGAATGTTGCTACGGTTACCATGGTGCGCAGAATTATTGGGGCTGAGTTGATACTATAATTTAATGTGTTCATTCCTGAAATGTTGCAACTGTTTATGCAGCCACAGCACAATTCAAGACATCTGGAAAACCCCTTCATTCAGACAACTGATCAATCTTTCTCTAGGACCATTTCCCGCTTTTTCTAGGGATCTGCAGAGAGTGAGACCTCCAGCTCCTACTGTGATCTATTTTCATACTCCTAAAAAAAAGTGACGACTGAAGACAAATGGGGTCGTCTGCAGCCAGAGATGGCGTTCACAGCCCAGCGACCCCCATGGGTATTCAAACCGGCACAAAAACCTCCATTACACCGCATTAAAGATCTCATAAACCGGCGGTCTGCAAATGCCAGCGGATGAATTAGGCATGCACGCGGTCAGCACAGGTGCCGGTTATTAACGTACCTTCAGTTCGGATGCTGAACGGGGAATCGGCCAGTCGCTTGGCGGAGAATTGACCCCCCAGAGAGGTCATTAAGAAGCACAGGCTGAAGAAACCGATCCCAGCCACAAATATCCTGCAACAGAGAAACACACACACACATACGCATGGATGAATGTGCTGAGGTGGAACCAGGATAGAGGAATTTTCAGGCACACAGAAAACAAGCATAAGAGGAAGTGTATTGTTAGAAGAAGTACATTGTCCTTGTGGAACTTTTCATGAATCCTCCTGTTGTCTTAGAATTCTGTATACACCGTTCGCCCTTCAATAAACCTCTATGATAAAACAGCTACATTTAGGGTGCTTTCACACCTGTAGATCGATGTTTTGTTCTGAAACAGGGCATGAAATTGTTAGTGTTTATTTTTTCATTCCTGGTACCGTTCGCTTTCACACGGCAGTTTCTAAACAAACCAAAATAGTTCAAACAACTCACATCCGAGCAAACTCCCTTCGCATTGGTCAGAGTTTCAGGGTTTATTTTCCCATGAATGGTCCCACGAACGAAGCAGTCGAGTCTCGGTTCAGTTGGCATTTCTGTGTGGAGTTTGCATGTTCGCGTGGGTTTCCTGCGGGTGCTCCGATTTCCCCCACAGTCCAAAGACATGAAAGAATTGGGTAGGCTAAATTGGTAAGTTGGTGGTTTATTCCACTGTGGCAATCCCAGATTAATAAAGGGACTAAGCCAACAAGAAAATGAATGAATGAATGGTCCCACGAATTTCCCTCAGCTGTCAAGTCGTTATTTTAATTCATGATTTATTCACTCATTCATTCATTTTCTACCATTTTTCCGGGACCGGTCCTGGGGGCAGCAGTATTAGGAGAGAACTCCAGACTTCCCTCTCTCCAGACGCTTTCTCCAGCTCCTTTGGGGGGGATCCCGAGGCATTCCCAGGCCAGCTGAGAGACATAGGGCACACTCACACTATGTACAGCTGCCTTGAATAGGGCCAAAGCACGTTGTCCCCAGGGCCGGCACGTCCATAGAGGCGACCTAGGCGGCTGCCTAGAGGGGCAGAATAGAGAGGGCAGCATCCGCGACACCTCCCTCACGAACCCGCGTCCTCAGTTATGTCCACACATAGGGCGGCAGAATAGAGGGGGCGGCATCCGTGACACCTTCCTCACCACCCACATCCTCAGTTATATCCATGCATAGGGCGGCAGAAAAGAGAGGGCGGTGTCCGCAACACCTCCCTCACCAGCCTTACCACCCGCGTCCTTAGTTATATTCGCGCATAGGTCGGCAGAATAGAGAGGGCGGCGTCCGCAACATCTCCCTCACCACACGCGTCCTCTGTTATATCCGCGCATATACTCCGCCCACCAAATAAACACCACAAAAAAACTTAACGCTGTCTATGGTTCGTAATAAATACATTTGTATCACTTATCCATCTCCATATGGACAACTTATCTAAAGTGTGGTCAGTTTGCTTGGTAGCTCACCTTGTAAAGTGTTGTATTTGTGATGAAGAGCGCTCGGTTTGAGTCTGGTGAAGCATAGTTACACAAAAGAGATAAAAGCAATGTAAAATCAAGGTAAAGCTATGTGTTCGCAGTGCACTTTTCGCACATGTGTGCTTTTAAAAACACTATTGGTTGGAAGGGTTTAGCTCAGTGTTTTGCTGATATATACGATAAGCTCCACTTTCTCCTGGACATGTACAAGAATGACGTGTATCTAAAATGTACAACAAAGCGTACCATTAAGGGCATCACACACCGGATGCGCCACTCAGCACCGCGGCACAGCGCGCACATGACAATTGAAAGTATCACACACCAGACGCGCACATTTATTTGCATGATATTTAAAATGAAACTAATCAGATGGCGCTCTGTGGCGCAGCAGAAATATGAACAACATCCTGAGTCGTGGCTGGGCATCACAGACAGCCGCCGCCGCTGGTGTGCGACCTGCTTAAGTCACATATTTCATTCATTCATTCATTTTCTTGTCCGCTTAGTCCCTTTATTAATCCAGGGTGGCCACAGCGGAATGAACCGCCAACTTATCCAGCATGTTTCTAGCCCTTCCAGCTGCAACCCATCTCTGGGAAACATCCACACATCCACACACTACGGAAAATTTAGCCTACCCAATTTACCTGTACCACATGTCGTTGTACTGTGGGGTAAACCGAAGCACCCGGAGTAAACCCACGCGAACGCAGGGAGAACATGCAAACTCCACACAGAAACGCCAACTGAGCCGAGGCTCGAACCAGTGACCCAGCGACCTTCTTGCTGTGAGGCGACAGCACTACCTACTGCGCCACTGCTTCGCCCTTACATATTTCAAATTTGCAAAAAAAATTAAGACAGCGCCCTTTAGTGGATTTTTCGTCTAAAATGTGCAAAGAAACGTAACCTGAGCAATGTATTTTTCTTTTCGTAAAAATGTTGGCTGTGACATGTGTTTCCAATGACTCTGGACTGAATTTATACGGTTAAAATATAATAATAATAAAATTAAAATTGGATAACTTGGAACTTGCATTTACCACACCTTATTTCACATTTACCTTGGGCTTACATTTACCCCGCATCTTATTTCAGGCATTGAACCCAAAGCCTATTTCAAAAGCCTTACCCTATTAAGACAATGGGAGCAGAAGTGCTTAAATGCAACTCATTCCTGTGTTTTGGTCTACATAAATGCCTCATTCCCACAGCTGTGATGCACTTAAATGAACGGAATTAGTGCTTTAGTGTGTTACGTGACCAATCGCAACATGACAGTGCAAATTTGCATATGGGAGAACAAAGATTCGAGTTTCAGTCATTCTAGTCTTTTCTTCATGCAGTGCTATTATTTTTGTTTTGATAGGCATGTTGTGGTGTTTAAAGGTGTTTTTGTTGTCAGTGTTGCTTCTCAGAAATGGTCACAGTTATTATGTGAAGAAGAACAGCATCAAAATAGCCGAATGCGTTTTAGATTGACATGAAAAAAGACAGTTAAATATGCCATGTAAAGAAATTTCTAGTTTCTTTATCCCTTACTCATACATTTCCATCAACTTCTCCGTTTACATGCAGTTTTTTGTCACTACCTGACAAAAGTCTTGTCATTGATTCCAGTTGTAAAAGCAACAAATAATAACTTGACTTCTAGTTGATCATTTGGAAAGTGGTAGAAGGCAGATTTTTCCGATGATTCATCTGTTGAACGGCTTCCCAATCATCACAAACACTGCAGAAGACCTTGGAACCCTCATGGACCCAAGATTCTCACAGAAATCAGTCAAGTTTAGTGAAGAAAAAAATCATGGTTTGAGGTTACATTCAGTATGGGGTGTATGAGAGATCTGCAGAGTGGACGGCAACATCAACAGCCTGAGGTATCAAGACATTTGTGCTTCTCCCTTACATTACAAACCACAGGATAGGTCAAATTCTTCAGCAGGATAGTGCTTCTTCTCATACTTCAGCCTCCACATCAAAGTGCCTGACAGCAAAGAAAGTCAAGGTGCTCCAGGATTGGCCAGCCCAGTCACCAGACATGAACATTATTGAACATGTCTCGTATCTTGATGGCCTCTAGTGTACCTGCACTTTTTGATTTAGTGGCTAATTCGTATGAATTCTTACGACCTAATTCGTACAATTTAGTACGTTTTGCCTAACACCCAATGACGGTTGGGGTTAGGGGTAGGGTTAGGTGCCAGGCCTCCTTTTTAAAATCGTGCATTTTCGTACGACTGAACTCGTAAGAATTTGTACGAATTAGCCACTAAACTGGCAAGACATAAAATACTTAAGTTTCCTCGTGAGATTAAGCTGTCCTGCAAGAAGGCTTTCGTTGCCGTTCCAGAAGATTATTAATAAGTTATTTGAGTCATTGCAGAGATGTATGGATGCAGTCCTCCAATGGGAGTCATACATGATATTTATTCTTTATCCACTGCAGCATGACTTTATATTATAAACTGGACATTATTTCTGTTAATTGGCAAGACATTTGTTTAAGCAAGTCAGACCTTACTGTCCTAATTAAGGAATTAAAAATCAAGGCATGATCAGATTTTATTCTGCTCAAATAAGTGCAATCTAGAGGCCTTTGCCTTTCATATAAGCCACTTCTGATACCAAATAATCAACTAGAAGTCAGGTTATTATTCATTGTTCCTAAAACTTGAATAGGCGACAAGACTTTTGTCAGGTAGTGTACATGCAAAATTGCTGGGTTCCACACAATCCCTTCATGTCTTCCCAACGTAAATCAGTTAAGTTAACTTTAAGGTTTTTACGATTTAAAGCTGAAACTCAAGAATTGTGATGTTTCAGCTGATTTTAAATACATAGCTTAAACAAGCAGCAAAAATACAGTTTTGAGTCTACATAAGTACATTTATAAATATTACTGGAAACCAGATAACACCAGAGACAAGTTTGGAAGGTTATAAACGTGCAGAAATTTATCAAATTAACATATCTGCCCTGTTCAAGAACGGATAGTCCTTGTCTAAATAAATAAATAAACAAATTATTTTAAAAGTAGGTTAAATTTAAGGCACTGTTAATGAGTCTCAGTTGAGTCATAATGAAGACAAGTAAAATATAAATTACAGAGTCCGCAGAAAGAACTGTAAAAATCAAGTTCAGAGAGTATTTGGTCTCTCTTTAAATAAAGGCAAACGGGTTGGTAATAAGTAAAGCTGCTGTTTGTGTAGTTGCTTAATGGTCTTCTGCTGAGATTTCAGCCTGATCTCATGAGAAAACTTAAGTATTTTACATTTTGGGAGTTTAGTGGATAATTCGTACGAATTCGTAGGAGTTCAGTCGTACGAAATTGTACGATTTTAAAAAGGCATGGCACCTAACCCCACTGTCACTGGATGATGAGCAAATCGTACTAAAATGTACGAATTGGATCATACGAATTCGTACGAATTAGCCACTAAATCAAAAAGTTACTAATTGCCGTGAGATTGTGTTGAAGATTTTGAGAGATACTATGTATTATATTTTATTTGATTTCATCTAAGGCTATGACTTAAAGTTGCATTCACACTAGAGTTTGTGTTTGCGAAATTCTGTCGTACAACGCTCCAAAAAGGGGCGGGATTAAACAAAATTATTATACATTAAAAAAGCAAGCGATTGCTCCATGTTTTAAATTTCTGTCAAGAGAGGTCATGTTTTAATCCTCGATTGGTCTCACGCAGGCAAGTGATGCGTTTTCGAAGGTCAGAGTTCAGCAAGCTTAAACTTTGCACCACAGCGACCTGCTAAACTTAACGCATGACTCTGCGTTTCCAGTTTGACGCATTTGCGTGCGTATGAACAGAAGTCTATGGGGAGAAAAGTCAAGTGTGACCCCAGCTTCATTCAGTTGTAATTTTGTGTTTCCCTTCTGTGTTTCTGCTTATTAACAGCAAGTGTTCATCATCAGTGCTCAACCACCACCTAATAACCCTTTGTCTCATTAACTTGAGTAACTTTATCCCAATTTAGAGAGGGACCAAATACTATCCAAACTGAGTAAATTGCTCTCAGAGGATTTTGCCGTGAATGGATGGGTAACCAAAAGCTTTATTATTCAAAGATGTTAAAAGCATTTGCTTGATGAGAACTGAACCTGTAAAATTAAGTATACGAATACCTTTATTGTCTTTTTTTATTCATCACCATATGTATATTGCAAAAGTGTTACTAAATCGGTAATTTAATAAGTGTCTATGATTAATATAAGATGTAGAAAGGCCTTTATTGTCCCTGTAAACCAGCATAACTATGATAAATATTTTCATTTACACTCCAAATGGTATAATTGCATACTGTTTTATGATATAGCCCTGAGGTGCAAATATCTACCACGAATCCCTCTGAGGAAATAGTGAATCTAAATACATCATTTAAATGCAGCAGGGGTTGATGCTCATCACTGCTTTGAAATGTTGTGTGTCAACACAACAGTTTCAGGTTGAGATAGATTCAAGCATCAAGTCCACAAATGTGCACTTATATTATAATATGCATATATTAGAATTGTATTTAAACATTTGTTTCTATTTATCTGTTTATTTAACTATTAAAGATGCATGCTTATTTCCAAATGTGCATGGATTCTGTTTAAGAATCTGCTGTAACTGCATGCTTTGCAGGTTAAGTATAGCCCGAATTCTAGCATACAGTTTAGCATACAGAAGACAATTCTAGGAATATTACATAATATCAAAGCACTACTGAAGCACAGAAAAAAATATGCACTTCTCAGCCTTTCCTTTTCCCTATTAAAATGCCATTGCTTAAAATGACCTCGTTTTTCATTAGAACAACAAAACCCAAACATCAATGCATACTTTCGAAGACTTGACATCCTCGTGTAACCTGATTGTCAATCCCTCACTGTTCATTAGGTCATTTTAATCCTCATTTGCTTCCTTTTCTGTTTACTTGCCACTGCGTAAATGCATCGTTACACTAATTAATCAGTTAATTAAAGGATTAGTTCAACCACAAATGAAAAAATAACATTCTGTCATCATTTAATCACCCTTTACTTGTCATAAACCCATTAGTTTCTGTCTTCTGTTAACACAAAAGTATATATTTTGAAAATAAATGTCTTAAAATGCTTCCATAGTAGGAACAAATACTAGGGAAGTCATTGGTTACACGTTTATAGCATTTTTAAAAATATCTTATGCTGTGTGCAACAGACGAATCTAAATCAAACAGCTTTGAATCAAGCAAGGGTGAGGAGACATGAATTTTCATTTGTGTGAACTATCCCTTTAAGTTTGACCAAAGCGTACTTTAATACCACTAATAGCCTACTTATTGCAGTAAATAAATAAGTAAATTAATAAATAATCACAAGCAATCTTGAATTTGAGCGTCGCAGAGCTCAAGCGGTAGGCTATACCGCAGAACAGAATGACCCACATCCGCGCGCTGCTGGATTCCCGCCACTGTGTGAAACAGCGGGAAAGCTCATCAGTGACAGTCAGTCCTCACACCATCCTCACATCCTCTCCTGAAACTCTCCTGAGGACATCAATGCAATCTCTCAAGAACCCAGAATAGCCACAACCTCCATAAAGACACGCCATTAGTTACAGTAAGCGATTATATCTTTCTTTATATGTTGGAGCAACAGTTAAGAGGCCGTTTAACTAGTTTAAATTGTGTTCGAAAATAGAATGACATCGTGGAATATTTAAATTAGTTTTTAAATTAGTGATGTTTCTATTAATGAATGCACAATGGTATACATAATTGATGTAAGTGTTTGGTTGTATATTTAAATTAGCTTAAACTTGACCTCCATTCAGATACTGTAGTAGCCTAGACAGTAAACAAATTGCCAGTGATATGCCGTCACATCAGTCATTGATTAATTGCACAATAATAGACATAGTTTATTTATGTATACATTTGTTTAACTTGGCTAGAACTTAGCTATACTAATAGACACTAAACAAATTGGCAGTGATATGTCACATTAGTCGCTGCTTATCCAAATGCTGTCACTGCTTTTATGACAGTTTTTTTGTATTATTAATTACTTAATTAATTAATTAATTTATAAATTTATTAATTAATTCATTAATTCATCAATTTATTTATTTATTTATTTATTTATTTATTTATTTATTTATTTATTTATTTATTTATTTTCTAAGGGCTGCCTTACAACATTTCAGACACAATACGTAAACTTCACTCATTCAAACGCCACAGAAAACCCTACAGGCTACTACGAGGTCTGTCTAAACAGTGTTACCGCCACAAATATCTGCAATATCTTAATATTTTAAGCGGGTTTATGTGTCAGGAATCTTACCTGAACGGTTTGAACGTCAGCAGGCATCTTCTCACCATAGTTATACACTCGCTGTTGACAACAATCATTTTTCGCGCCAGCTCTGCAAGAAACGACCCACACAACACATAGCTAATGTGCTCGACTATCTGTCCACACAATAGTATCTAAGCTCGAAGTAAAACTGACTCAAAGCCCCTAAGAAGATGGAGAAGTTGCTCGAAGAAAAGCATCCGAGGATTGCTGAGCACAAGAAATCAGCGGGGTCATTCAGTTGGGGGAAATGTTGAACTCCTTTTCATACTACTTTCCAAAAAAGCAAGTAATCCAGCAGACAATGGTCCATTTCTGCACTCTCTGTGGTGAGGTATGAATGAGGGAGTGAACGCGTTAGGACTCCGCGCGACGCCGCCGGATCAATTCAGCGGCACGACCGCTGTTTTCTGTGGTGTGAGACATCGCTTTCACCTCCTTTGAGAATAATGTGGCTCAATGTGAACAGCGATACAGTCCAGCTGCTTTAGTGAAGGCGTCTGGAGGCTTTAAAGGGCTCCGCTGTAGTTTCAGAGCCGTGGACAGCTCCCAGTGCACGCGCCAAAGGCTTCACGAGCGCCATCCCATGGATTTCTAACCAGTTTACGCGGATTATCCGATCTGAGATATGACGAACTGGGATCTGTGCAGTGTTTTTTTTTTTTTTTTTCTCGTGTGTGTGTCAGTGCTGTTATTAATACCAAAAAATACCAAACATATAACCCGACTATAGGTTATTATAGCACCTTCCCAATGGGTTATTTTAACCCAATGCATTAGGTTATACAATTTAACCCAGTGCATTGGTTTATTTTGACAATGTTATTTTTTTCCATTCTGGTTTTACTATCGCTACTATTAATATATATAGGGTACCGAG